AAATAAAGAAGTCAGCTATAACAATATTTTCTATAAATAAGAAAATAGTAATTATAATTAATTTATTGAATATAAAAACAAGTTCAATTTGAAATCTTATAATTTCGATAAAATATATAGCAATTATTAATTATTTTATAATTAAAAACATTAATATTAAATTTTTTATTAATATTAATATTAATATTAATATTAATATTATAATATATATATATCATAATTTTTAATATTAATACTGATATATATTTATTGTAGCAATAATTAAAAAGTTAAAAATGAATTTAAATAAATAGAATAATAATAATTTTAAAATAAAAAAATAAAGATATAAAAATAGAATAATATAAAAAATAATCAAATTTGTATTTTAAAAATGTGTTAATTATAAATAAATTAGAAAAAAGGTTGATTCATGTATAAAAAAGTGAAAATTAAAGGCATAGTATTATTACCCTTATTCAAGATTATAAAAATAAGTTATTCTTATGTATTTCATAAAAATTAGAAGACTTTAATCTATTAAAATTAATAAACATAATAAAATTGTAGAATAAAATTAAAATTAATTTTATTTTTCTTACAGTGAAATATTTAGTAGAATTATTAAATCATTCGAAATTATCAACTAAATAAATATTATTACCCTATATTAAACATTAAAATTGTTAAATATGAATAATAACTATCACCTTAAATAAAAGAATTAATAAAATAATAGATATAAATGTTTTTAACTTAGAAATATAATGAAAGTTTGACCATTACAAGAAGAAATATCATAAAACCATCCGTTATTTTCGACAATTAGGCCGTAATATAATAAATATTTGTTAAATTTTAAATTTATTAGAACATGGAATAGTTTATTATCCATCCATATGTATATGAAAAAAAAAATAAAAAAAATTGATAAATATAATTATAAAAAAGAAATAAATAAAAAAATATATAAGATTTTATAAATAAATTTATATAAGTTATCACAAAGCTTTGATTCCTTATTTTCTAACCAAAACTTATAATAAACTTATATTATTATTTTTGAAATCGTCTTCTTTTTCTTCTTCAGAATTACTAGTTTTAGAAAATGAGCTTTTTAATATTTTTCTTTATTTAAAAAATTCATCCATATATTTCATATATAATCTTCTTTTTAGTTTAGATTTTCTATTTTTATTTATTTTAAAATAAATTTAAAGTAATTTTTTTACTTCAATTATTATAATTTTTTTTTATCTTAATCAGTTATTTTAATTGAAAATGTTTCTGAATATTCTTCACTTTCTTTAGAAATGGAAATACTATCTTATTTATCGAAATTATTTTATTTATAATCTACAATTTACTCTTTTATTTCTTAAATTCTAAAAATGTTTTCTAATTTTTACTTTTATTTTTTTATAATTTTTTTTTTAAATGTTTAATTTTTTTTTTATATTTACAATGTGTTTGATATACTCAGTACTTTACTTAATATTTTAGTATTCTTCAATTAAACTAGTTTTTTTATTTTAAGAATTTTAACATGCTTAATTATTTTTTAAATTATAAGAATTCTAGTTTTAATTTGCAACTTTTATTACAGGAATATTTTAAATTAAACTTACTAAACTATTTTTTTATAGATTATTTTCTATTTTCTATTCCATATTTTTTTATTTTATGCTTTCTTACAATTATTGAGATTTTATAATATAAGTTTTTTCCTAGTTTTCTTTTTAAATGTTTTTCAAGTTATTTATAATTAATTAATTTTTTTCTTATTATTTTTATTCAAATTTAAATTCTTTTTTTTCAATAATTTTAACATCATTTTACTGTTTTTTGTGTAAATTTTCACTTTCGTATAACTTATTATTAATCTATTTCACTTTTTCTTATTATTTACTGATTTATTATGTTACCGATTCTTCTTCAGGATTATTGATTTCTTCTTTTTTCTTCTTTTCCTCTCTTTTACTATAAAAAAGTAAAAAAGCTTTTTCATTTTAAACTTCTTAGAAGCTGACTTAATTAACAGAAGAATCATTCATACAATACCATTATTTATTCGGACTTTTAGTATAACAATAATAATGTCCATAATTAAGATCGTGTCCAACATGTATAAGAATACCATATAAATCATAAATCTAATCTTTTTAATTTGTAGAGTATTTTTTTAAATTTATTGTCGGAGCAAATTATGTATGTTTATTAACTTTCATCATAAAATTATTAAATCTTTTCAGTTGTATTGTAAGAATATTAGGGAACTTTTCTTTAATTTGTTTTAATATTATTATTATTTTTTTATTTTTTTAATCTTACAAATGACGTATCCTTTAGAACAATCAACAAGATTCTTACAAAATGAACATCTATATTTATTATTTCCAGATAAAATTTCTTTTTTGAAAAAAGATTCAAACGATTAATCTATATTTTATTTACACTCCTTTATTATGAAAAAAAATATATTATATAAATATAAAAATGAATAAATAAAAATAATAAATATATATATATTTGTATAATAAATAGCATATTTTATTTGTATATTTAGTTTACCAAAAGTAAATCATAAAATGTCTCTATATTTTATGATATTTATTTGCATGAAAAACATTAAATTTAACTTATTAATTTACCTCCAAATATATTAAATATAGGAGTTTATTCTTCTAAAATTTTTTATTTTTTTATATCTATAAAATAACTTTTTTACATCGCCTCTAACAAAAATCTTAAAAATTCATGCGAATCATGTTACTTTCCTAATCTAAAATTTTTATTTATGTATTTCATATTATTAATAATTTCACTGGGGGCTATAATATTATTACTATTATTCGAAAAACATTACTTTACATGCTTCTAAACTACACAAATAATGCATTGCTTTTTCTAACAAGCATGAAGATTACTCAATAAATAATTTACTAATAGGGGTGTGTGTGTGATACATTATAAAACAGAATTCATAAAACATGTATTACCTAAATTTCTTAATCCAGGCCCTATTTTGTACAAATTTTCCCAATAGTTATTTAAATGAGAAATGCTTTCGAATTTTATTTGGTTATTCATTTATAAGGCGTAATTATTTTTTTCGTTTTTTTTGTTTTTATTTGGTTTTTTAATTTAATTGTAATTTGTTTGTAATTACAGTTTTATTTTATTTTATAATAATTTTAAACTCTTATTTGTAAAATTAATTTAGATTATTTTTATATATAAAAATAAATAATATATATATATATATTTGAATTATAACATATACATTAAATAATTATTTATTTATTATGATATATTTTATAATTTTTATTAGTATTAACTATTATTCAATTAATTAATTTTTTTATATAATTAATAATAATACTATTTTATATATGAATATTTATTATATAATTATAATTAAAAATATATGAAATATAAGAAACATATAAAATACATATTAAATAAATCTTAACTTATATATTTTTTATAATTTTTAATTAATTATTATAAAAAATTATTACTCTTCAAATTTAATAATATATATTTATATGAATGTTTAAAATATTTTTAATTTATATAATAAGCATTTATATGTTTTTAATATCATTTAATGCAATATTTACTATAATAAATATTTTTTATTATAAATATATAAATATTCTTTTTAAATAATTTTTATAATATAATTAAACAATAATTATATGGTGTAATATGATAATCATAATTACATATATATTTATTTAAAATTATAATAGTAATTTAATAACTAATATGTTTACAAATAAATAATATAAAAAAAAGTTAATTTATAAATTTTATTATGAAATAAATAATACTACTTTATTATTATTAATATTTTAAAAATTATTCAGTTTATATTTTTTCTAAATAAAGTTTTAAATTTGAATATTTAAACAAAGAAATTTAATAATTGAAAAATTTGAATAAAATGAATTTAATTTTTTTTCATTTAAGTCTTTAAATAATTTTTCAAAAATTAAATAAAATGTATTGAATAATTATATATAAAAATATTAATTATATTATTATTTTTAATATTATAAATTGCATATTATTTATAAATAATTAAAAAATATTAAATTATTATTTATTTGAGATCTATTTTTTATTAATAAATACAGTTATATATTTATTATTAATTTTGTTTGATTTAAATATCAATGAAAATTTTTTTTAATTTATATTAATTATTTATAATTTTCTATTTTTTTATATATATGCAATTAATATTAAATTTTAGTAAAATTATTATTATTATATTATTATAGACAAAAATCAATTTAAATTTAATGTAATAATTACAAAATTTAATCTTAATAATTAAATTTAAATAATTAAAAAAACAGTCAAAAAATAATTTCAAAGCAAAAATAAAAACAAATAAGATAATCAAAAATAACAAATTAAGTTTATATTCCTAACTAAATATTAATAATAAAAAACACATTTAAGTAAGGAGAAAGTTAATACAAAATAAATTTATGTGTAAATAAATAATAGAAATGCATTTTTTTTCATTCTATTTATATGTTTTTATTATCTAATTCCATTATTACGTCAAACTTATTTAATTAGTCCTCCTAAATTTTCAATTTCATTTAAACGCTTTCAATAATATTTTAAATGTTGCTTAAATACAAAGCAATTATTTAATAAATTAAATTACAAATACATCCCATAATCATTCCTATCCATATTCCTCTTAATTAAAAATCCATATAATACGCTAAAAAATAACTAAAGGAACATCCAATAACTCCATTTAAGAAAATACAAGAAATGCAGCAAGCTACTTCTTAATCTAATACTTTTAAAAATCCTGCAAATAAACATTAAAACCCTTATAAAGCATCATAAATTAAATAAAAATAGAAGCAATCAATAAAATGATACATAGTTTATTAATCATGTATAAATAGTTTTCCTAATTAATATTTAAAACATGCAAATAGTAAAGCAATAATAAAGTAATATCCTCCCATCATATAAATACCATATTTTATATAAGATTATATATTCTTTTAATTTTTATTCCCTATTTCAATTCCAATAAAAATAGATGAAGAACTAATAATCCCCCAAAAAATATTAGCCATAAAAAAAATAAACTAAAAATAAACAACATGTGAGTTAAATTAATTTATTTGTAAATTAGAAGCTATCAATGAATATAATTCATAAATAATTATATCAGTATACGTAAGCAATGCTATAGAAAACATTTATTAAAAAAAATACATGTATGCTTTAAAGCTGATGATGAAAATCTTATTACACATTTTAAATAATCACTATTATATATTATTATAGATATACATAATAAATTTTATAATCTACTAATAGAATAAACTATACCTCCGCCTATAATACCAAGATTTAAATAATATATGAAAATTATGCAATATATAATACTTATAAAAAAGCTAAATATGTTAAAATAAATTTATGATTCATAATCATTTTAAGCATTTAAATAACCTATTTATAAAAATTCAAAAAATTATTATAAAATATTTTATAAAAAATATATATATATAAAAATATATAAAATATTTAATATATTATCTATAAGATTAAAATTATGATTATTATATTAAATATTTAATTTTTTATTTTATATTAGTTAATAAATGTATATATATAATATATTATATATTTATATATATATATAAATATTTTATATATTTTTTCTTATATACAAATATTTAATTTTTATTTTTATTTTATTTTATATTTTTATAAATACTTTTAAAGTATAATAAATTCCAATAAAAAGCTATCCAGGTAATGACCAAATGCAATATTAACTAAAATAAATTAAAGTTTCTCTATTATGTATAAATAACGATAAAACTTAATTTGAGTAAATTATTAAAATAATGTTAAGAATATAATATAATATCTAAATAAAAATAGTCTTAATCAAAGATGTACCAAGTATATTATATTTTTCTGCTCCATAAGCATGAGAAGCAATTACTTCGTATGCTACAGATATACCATATAAAACACCTTATGAAGCAAAATTAATATAAATAAACGCTAAACCTAATCCTGTAGTTACATTTGCATTTTAAGTATTCCATGAGACAAAAATAAATATTATCTAATACAATGAATTTTCAATTAAATATGACAAACTTATCTATAAACTTGATTTCGCTAATATTTCTAAATGATTAATATTTTCGACTTCTTATTCTTATATATTATTTTATTCTATTATATTGTTTCTACTTTCACAATTATTTTTAAAAGAAGAAACATATTCTTATTATTCAAAGCTTTTCATTAATATTTTATTTAAAATATATCTATTTTATTTATTTTAATTTAATTAATTAAAATAATAATTTTTAAAAAATATTCAAAACAATTTTTTTTTTCTTAAACTTAATAAAAACATAAATTTAAATTTGCTTATATTTTTGTTATTTATATGATGATTAAATTATTAATTATTTACTAAAATTATTATTAAATATAAAATATATTTTAAACTAAAAAAATAGTTTATTTATTATATATATTCTTAAAAAGTTGAGTAGACAAAAGTGTTTACACTATATAAAAAAATAAAAATCAAAATTATGATTATATATTATTTCATTATATTATACTTTTGTAATATTTTTAGAAATTTTAAAAATAAAAGTAATCATATAAGATTTTTAAATATTTTATAATTTAGAATTTTTTTATATTAAATTTAAATAAATTTCTTAATAAAAAGAAATAAAAACTAGAATTTTATAAAAATATAAAATAAAAAATAAAAATCAAATAATATATTAAAATAAGTATATTATCTAAATTATAATTTTAAAAATAATATTTAATTCATAAATATTTTTTATCGTTAGTTATTAATTATTATAATTTTACATAATTCTTATTTTTAATAAATTAAATGAATCAAATTTTAATAATTAATTTTTTAACCTAAATTAATGCAACTTTGTTTATAATTTATATAAAAAAAAATATTTTAAAAAGAAATATAAATATATTGAAAAATAATAATATTTAGAATAAATATAAAATATTCTATTGATTATTTATAAATGGCACAACTAGTATTCAATTAATATTAAACCCATATAATATAAATAAAACAAAATATAGAAATAAAGAAATAAAATAATATTATATAAATATTTAATATTTACATTTAAAAAAAATATTAATCAATTTCTACTTTTTTCAATTTATAAAATAAAATTATAAATTTTATTATTAAATAAAAAGTTAATTATAAATTAATTTATTTATTATATAATTAATCAAAAAGTATTTTATAATTAAAAAGTAGTTATAAATTAATGAATTATATATATGAAAGTAATTATTTTATTAGTTTTAAATTTTAATTATTCAATTATATGATTATGAATATGAAATATATATAACTATATTAATCTAAATAATAAAAATTATAAAAGAAGAATAATTAAATAATTGTCATATATAATAATTTAAATTTAATTAAAATATACACTTAGAAATTAATATTAAAAAATTATAACACTATTGAAAAAATATTTAATAAATAATAAGAATTTATCTAAATTAAATAATATGTATTATAGATTTGAAACAAAAAATTATCTCATATATTTATTTAAAGAAATTGGATTGGAAAGATAATATAGTAAAGACTATGAAATAATTTGTTTTACGTAAATATATATTTTTTTAACAATAAATAATTAAAACTTGTTTAATTTATTATATATTATGATTCTTTATTTATTAAAAAAATTAAATATAAGAAATATATTAAACCTATATAAAAATTTATAAAAGAAAAAAATATATTACATGAAGTCAATATAATAATATTGTAATATGATGGAAAATAAAAATTAAAAAAAAATATATAAATAAGATATTTATTAAAAAATATAATAAATAATTTTTTAAATATGTAAAAGTATATTAGTATTGAATATTTTATAAAATCTATTTTAAATGAAGAAAATTTTTACGAAATAAAAAAATATTCAATATTAAAATTATATATGTATATAAAATATATATATATATTTATAATTTTAATTATATACTAATCAGGATTTTTATATTATTTTATAATATATATATAGTATATAAAGATATTTAAATTATATTTATATTTTTTTTTTTTATTAATAAATTTAATTCAAATATTTTTTTTATCATAATTTATTTATATTTCCTTGTTTAATTATAGTTTTTTTTTCATTATAACATTAATCTTATTATTATACAATAAATATAATTATTTATTTATAAAATATATTTAAATATTAATTATTGAATTGTTTCTTTTATTTATTTTAAATGGTATATTTATATCTAAATAATCATTAATTAATTTTAAATATTTTTTTTATTAAAAATTTAATAATTATATAATAAAAATTATTATTTAAAATATTATTACAATTTTTATAAATTAATATATATTATTTTCTACAATATTAATTATTTTAATAATAAAAACAAAAATTAAAATAAATAAGGAAAATAAAAATATTATTTTAAAAATACAATTTTTCAAAGTATATTTATATAGTTTTTTAAAAAAATTAACAAAATAGTTTATTAATATAATTTATGTCACTTTTTTTAAATATTTATTTAATTATTATACAAATATCTTAAATGATTTATAAAATTAATATTATTTTATAAAATTTAAATATAGTCTTTTTTTTAATCCTTTAAATTAATTAAACAATGTTTTTTTTTTTTTCATAATCCTAAAACAAAACAAAAAAATAAAATATAAAAAATATATCAATAAACTGTTATTTATTCAAATATCAAAATCTTATTATAAATAAACCTTATTACAATTTACAAATTCCTTAATAAATATCTTCAAAATAATCAATTTTTGACTGAATTTCATACTAATGTAATTATTAATTACATTATTAAGAACTTTCTTATTATATCTATATTCTTAAAAACTCAAGTTAATGAATAATAATTTTGTTTATAATTGTTTTGACAATATTTATCTTATTAATACTATATTCATCGTCTATATTTGAAACCTTAAACACATCTTGATGTATTTTAATTAAATCATGTTAGAATTTTAATTATAAAACATTATTTTAATTAATTTTTAAAAACAAACATAAATAATGGCTATGATTATAATAATGTGTTAAATAATTTGTAAAAAGTCTTCCAGTTTTTTTTAATCTTGAAATTGTTTTCAAAACTAAATTTTGAATAGGATTAGGTAGGTCTAATTCTTTCAAATGGTCTTGATTTAATAATTCTAATAAAAATTACATGTAATATTTTGATTTATTATGTAAAAACTTTTCCTTAAGGACTTTTATGTTTTACACACTATTATAATCTAATTAATTTTTTTAAGAATTTTCATTTGTCTAATCTGGAAAGTTATTAAATTAAGTCAAAAGTAAAGAAAGTTTTATTTAATGATTTTCTTTTAAACAATTTAGGTTATAATTACAAATAAAATTATTGTAATTTTTTAAATATCTATATTTTTTTGATAAAAGTAGGCTAAACTTAATAATGATTAAATTTTTTATTTTATTATTAGTATCTCCTAATTATATTTATTCCGAAATCACTGTATAATCTAAAAACTTCAAGTTTTTGTGATTATAACCATCCAGATTTTTCAATTAATAATTTTATAAAAAATTATTTACATTTTCTCTTTATTTAATTTATATTATATAGCTATCTTAATTAAAAAAAGCTAAGAAATCATTATAATCATTATAGTCTATTTTCATGCTCTTAAAATGACTTTTTTTATCATTTTTAAGCTATATTCGTGTTTTTTAATTGTTAAATTAATCTAAATAACTAAAAAAACTGTGAAAATTGTTTGTTTAGGACAATTAAAGTTCTTTATATTTACATTATTTTAAATTAAAAAATTAAGTTTATTAAGTGATTTTAAAGTTAGAATTTTGAAAAAAATGTTTTTTAATTATTTTTTCAGTAGTATATTATTCTTATTTCGAGTTTGAGTTTTCTGATTTTAAAAATATGTAAAAAAAAATATGTAAAAAAAAATAATTGAATTACAAATATACATTTTTTAACTTGTTTTTAGTAATAATGTTATCAAAAAATTAAAAAGATTGATTATATAAAAAATAAAAGTAACTTTTAACATATATTTTATTAAAAATACATATTTATATACTTTTTATAAAATTTTGTACTTTATTTTAATAATATTTTTAATCGTATTTTATTTATATTTATCTTTTTTTTATATTTTATAAAAAATTGTATGAATTTTTATTTTATATAAATAATTTTTAAAATTATTATAAAGTCAAATTAACATATTTTTTATTTTTTTCTATAGTTTATAATTAAAATTTTAAATTATTAATAATATAACATTCAATGTTTCCAGTAAATAAGAATTTTCTATAATTATTATTTAATTTTTTATAATTTCTAAAAAAAAAAATACTTATATCAACAAATGTTTTAATATGTTTAAAAAAAAAGAATACCAAATAAATATTATATTATATTTTTTATTTTATTTTTATTAATATTCATTTTTCAAAATATTATTTTTAATTATTTATAAAATAAAGATAATTTTTTTTTTTTTTATTAAATAAAATAAATTAATTTATTTTAAATAAAATAAAATATTTTTTTTTTTTTTGATAAATATCTATTAATATTTTATTTTATTTTAATTATTACTAAATTCATTTATATATAATTAAATTAATTATATAAGGTAAATTAAAATATTAATCTATAAATTATATTATATTAAATAAAATAAATAAAAGAAATTATATAAAATATTAAATATAACTATATAATAAAAACCATAATTTTAATCATGTCAGTAATTCAATAAACCATCTAAAAATTTTTCTTCATTATAATTAATTTTATATTAACCTAACTTAATTTTATGATTTTCTTTATAATAACTATTATTTATAATTTCTTAATTCAAATACAGGCTTTTATTTTATTATTTAAAATTTTCATTTTTATTAAAAGATTTTTCTAATAAATAGCTATTACTTAATAAATTTTTTTATTTTATTTTTATATTTAAATCTTTTAATTTTTATTTACTTCTATTATATATTATATCTGTCTCTTTCTTAAAATCATTTAATTCATCATATATATTAACTTAAGAATTTTAAAAAATATTAAAATTATTATTCTAATTGATATCGATATTTGGTACTTAAGTATTTTAAAAATTTTAATTAAATTCATTCACATTTTAACTTTATTAGCATTAAAATTCTTTATTCT